AGATTCTCAGTTTCCATTAAGTGTAAGAATGTAGAGGATGGGTGTGTATGGGTCTTAACCAATGTTTATGGCCCTAATTCCTATAGAGAGAGGAATGAGATGTGGGAGGAACAATTTGCAATCAAGGGGCTATGGGATGGCCCTTGGTGCTTGGGCGGGGATTTTAATGTCGTTAGATTCTCTTATGAAACTAGTAATCCCCAACAGGTAATTACAACAAGTATGAGGAAATTTAATGGTTTTATTGAAGAATGTGAATTGAAGGAAATACCTCTGCTGCAAGCCAGTTACACTTGGTCCAACCTTCAGGAAACCCCTTTGTGTTCGAAGTTTGACAGGTTCTTATTTAACCTTGCCTGGGAGAATAGTTTGGAAAACTTGGTTGCTAGAGCGTTACCCAGGGTCACCTCCGATCACTGTCCTATCCAGATAGGTACTGAGTTTTTTACTACAGGACCCAAACCTTTTAGATTCGAAAATGTGGCTTACCCATCCAGATTTTGTGAAAAAAGTGAAGGAATGGTGGGGTGAGGAGGAGAGGGGGGTAAGATGGAAGGGGATCAAGTTCCATAAGAAATTAAAAAAGGTTGAGAGCCAAAATAAAAGAGTGGAACAGAGATCATTTTGGTAGAATTGAGGAGCAAAAATTATGCCTAATCTCTCGAATAGAAAACTTGGATGTAAAGGAATCTCAAAATGGGTTGATCGAGGAGGACAGAGCGTTAAGGATACAATTGAAAAAAGATTTGGAAGAGGTGTTACTGAGGGAAGAAATCAATTGGAGACAAAAATCTAGACACAGGTGGATTAAGGAAGGCGATGGGAACACTAGATTTTTCCATGATTTGGCAAATGGGAGACGAAGAAAGAATCTTGTGACCAAGCTAGAGATAGGAGAGGAGGTGATTACCAACTAGGATGACATAGCCAGAAATTTTGTGGACCACTTCAAATCGATTTATAGAAGACCTTTAAGTGAGAGAGCAGTCGTGGAAGGGGTGGAATGGCCAAGAATTGATGACGGAGTGGCAAGGTGGCTGGAAAGGGATTTCGAGGAAGAAGAGATTAAGAAAGTTGTCTCTCTAATGGATAGATCTAAGGCTCCAGGTCCAGATGGCTTTACAATGGGCTTTTATCAAGACTGTTGGGAGGTGTTGAAAGAGGATTTAGTTGAAATCTTTAAGGAATTTGCAGACAATCACATTATAAGCCCTGTAATTAATGCCACCTTTTTGGCCTTGATACCTAAGAAGAATGATGCCAACCACCCAAAAGATTATAGGCCTATTAGTCTGGTGACAAGCATCTATAAAATTCTGGCTAAAGTGCTCTCGTTGAGGATCAAAACAGTCCTCCCTTCTATCATCAATGAAACCCAGGGAAATTCATTTAAGGGCGACAAATAAAAGATCAGATCTTAATTGCGAATGAGTGTGTGGAGGAAATGAAAAGGCCTAAGAAGAGAGGTTTCATTTGTAAATTGGATCTTGAAAAGGCCTATGATTTGGTAGACTGGGAGTTTCTATTAGAGATTATGCGAAACTGTGGATTTGGGGACAAGTGGTGTAGTTGGATTTTTGGGTGTATCAGTACTTGTCACTACTCTATTCTGGTAAATGGTATGGTGAGGGACTTTTTTCCAGCTTGCAGGG